AATGACATACAAGTAGATGCATATCACATCAACTAGATCTTCATTTATCTATTTATCTGCCTTTGTAAGGGGATATTGAAACCAGTGTATATCTCTATGTACATGTAAGCTTAGTGCATGATAGGCAAATCTTAAAATTTTTAAAGTACTTATAAATTGTAAGTTCTACAAAATGTGTAGATAATAAGAGGGTAATAAGTTTTCGATCCTATCAAAATGTGTTAAAAAAAGTATGTTTGCAATAAAACTATAGTATTTAAAAGAAATTAGGCGAATTTGCTAAAAGATCTCAGCAGCATTTCGACATCCACAATTTTCTAATTCAAATAAGACACAAACCCCTTCTCCTACAGTTTAAACTTTTAGATAAGGTGCTACGGCAAGGTGTAGCCATTTGTGAAATTTATGCACGTTGAAGACTAATGCTCTGCTCGTCTAAAATTATTAGGAAATTTTTAGGAGGAATAGTATGTATCCCATGAAATGTGTAGATAAAAATGTATATGTATCTCATATCAAAAAAGTTAAATTTCTAGATAAGATTGTTCAATCAGACATAATTCCTCTAACCTTCTCAGACTGAACAGCTTTGATGGTGAAGCAAGAGTTTCTCCTGGAAAGCAGAACTCTGAGTGGAGCTCCATAAATACCCTTTGGAGTAACCAGTCCTCTAGTCAAGGAAGAAGCAAAATTGCTCTTGAGCTGGCTAGCCATGGTTGAAGCAGCAGTAGCCATATTTGAAACTTGTGCTAGAACTCAGAATGAATGTCTGGTTACAGCAAGGACAAGAATATCTATAATAAAGAAATAAGGGTTTGTTTGTGTAATTTATGACCTGCTAATAATATCTTTTGCACACAAATTTGTGGTTCTCAGATGTGAGGCTTAGTTGACACAGGATTCTCATTGGGTGAGTTGGGCTAGAAACCTTATCTTCCCTTATCCACATTGACATGTAAGAATGTGGATGATATTAGAATCCCACATTATTTGGGAAAATATAAATGATTCACTTAATAAGGTGAGGGCAATCCTCCCCTAATAAGCCAGTTTTATTAGGTGGAGTTAGGNCCGGTTTTATTAGGTGGAGTTGGGCTCAATATTCCTAACATGGTATCAAAGTTAGGCTCAATTATGCAATGTTGGGTACCACCCAATATCGATTTGTTCACAGTTGTTCGATATGGTCCACGCTGTGCGTGAGGGGGCATATTAGAATTTCACATTGTTTGGGAAAATATAAATGATCTACTTAATAAGGTAAGGGCAATCCTCCCCTAATAAGTCGGTTTTATTAAGTGGAGTTAGGCCCAATATTCCTAACAGATGATAGGATATCAAACTGAGTAGTTCGATTTATGTAGCCGGTTATCAAATGAACATGAAGGAGAAGGGACTTTCTAACTACATGCACTTGGCTGAAAGCCTATAAGTCAGGAATAAGACTGAATTCGAGATAAGAATTACATTTCCCAAACAAAATAGATATAGATGTCTCGTAATTTTCTCTTGTTAAATCATCTCGTCTTGTTTTAAAAATCTAATGTGAATATTGAACCGAAGATTAAAAAAAAAAAAAACTCACAATTTTTTAAAATTACACATTGGAAAAATTCGATCAACAAGACCAATCAATAACGTGTTGACCAATTCTATCCGCAATGGTTAATATAAAATTGTAGTTGTAGGCAATAATCAGATTGATTTTCATTTCTTACAATAGTACTGATTGAGTCGAGTAAGTTTTTATGATACTAAGCCCCCGTTTGGGAGCCATTTTGTATTATATTTTTAGGAAAATTCTAGCCGTTATATTAGACTTGTTAGAGGAGCTGTATATTTTGACTGAATTACAGACAAATTATTAATGTGTCCCTACAAAAAAAAAACATCTTTGAAAAAGGACAATTTCGGTAATTCGCAGCATGTACAACATCTGTGGGTCCTACCTACCTACCGAAAGGGTCAAAAATATATTCTGCATTTGGCCAAAAATGGCTCCCAAACATTTGCTAAATTTATCTTCATTGTACGCTCACGTGCAAGACGGATTCAAAACATATCCTAATCGTATATAAATTATTTTTTCCATCCTCAATTCCATTTCATGAATGTTAATGTGGAGATAAAAAGAAAAGAAAAAAAAATGTTTGGTAAAAAAATAAATAAAAATCTATATTGAAATATTACTTTGAAACTATGGGGAAAAAAAGATGAAAATTAATCATAGTAAGATTATAGCAAATTAAACGAAAAGCATAGTTGGGAGTTGTTTATAAGAGATTCAAATTATAAATCAGAAAAAATGAGTAGTAGATAAGCTAACAATACTTATTGAGCCCCTATTTGGTACACATTTTTACAAAATACAATATTTCAAAACTCATTTTCAACTACACATTTTTCAATAAAATAATATTTTTCATCACATCAATAACTTTTCATTACTTTTTAACCACATATTTCTCATCATATCACTATTTAAAATAAATTATTTTATCAAATTTTCTCCAATTTCATCATTAAGTCCTTGTTTGGTACATATTATTTCAAAATATATTCTTTAAAAACTTATTTTCAACCACACATTTTTCAATAAAATAATATTTTTCATCACATCAATAACTTTTCATTACTTTTTAACCACATATTTCTCATCATATCACTATTTAAAATAAATTATTTTATCAATAATATCTATCAAACCCACTCTAATTCTAAGAAATATATGAATAAAAAGTGGTTTACAAAATTCAACTTAAGAGTTTCCATTATTTAAAAACTCATTAGGTTTTATACATATTTTTTGAAATTGATTCTTGAATCATATAAGTCAAAAAACATTTTTTCCTACATACATAAAAGAGTGAGTTTATAGGAACTGTTCATAAGCCGAGCCAAGCCAAGCCAAGCCAAGCTTTTTTTTTTAAACGTTTGATTCAGTATCCTACATAGGCTCGACTCGGCTTGGTTAAGTCGTTTTTTGTTTTTGGTCCGAGCCATATGGCTTTATGGCTCGAGTCGGCTAAGCCTTTTTTTTTTTTTTTTACGTTTGATTCAGTATTTTATATTACAAATATTAGTTTTAAGCAATTTAAAATTTATTGGAAATGTTGAAGTGCGACCATGATAAATATATGATCGATAAATTTTAAATTAATTGTGAAACATAAAGTCGTGATTGTTTATATTTCTTTTTAATCACAACCTCATTCCCAATGTCCTTTTTTCGAACTTTATTTTCCTACAATTTTTCTTTTGATTCGATATTTTACTATATGAATATTCATTTTGATCGATTTCAAATTTTTTAAAAAATACTTAAAATGTGATAATAATAAATATATTGTCAATTAAGTTTAAATATAAAAATTATCTTAAATTATTAAACGTGAAATCATAATCGTTAATTTTTCTTTTCTGCCACACCATCAACCCCCATATTCACTCCAATTTCTCTCAATTTCATTTTTCTTCAGTTTTTACGTTTGGTTTGATATTTTACACTAAAAATGTTCATTTTCAACTATTTAAAATTTATTCAAGAGTTTAAATGGCGACCATGATAAATATATGATTGACAAAGTTTAAATAACAAAAATTATCTTACATGAATTATTAAACATAAAATCATGATTTTCAATTTTCCTTTGAAGTCTTGAAATGTGGCTATGATAAATATATGAGAATTATTGCTATCTTTTTATGGGAATTATTACTATCTTTGTTTATAATTTACTCGCTTGCAAATTATATAGAAATTTTTAGTTGAAGTAAATTGAAATTATATTTTTCTTTTAATTATTATGTCGAAAACAAATTAAGGATGTTCTAATCAGAACTTTATTTTTTCATTAAAAGAAAAGACACTTGCTACTCTGAAATAACATTCTTTCTGTCATGTAGTGATGGNAACCCCAACTAAATCGATCTTCATATCCTACATAAATAAAAGAGTCACTTGGTGGTTACTATTCATAAGTTGAGTCGAGCCAAATGGCTTTATGGCTCGGCTAAACCGTCTAAGCCTTTTTTTTTTTTTTACGTTTGATTCAGTATTTTAGTTACAAATATTCGTTTTAAGCGATTTAAAATTTGTTGAAAATGTTGTGTTGCGGTTTTAATACTGATAGAAACCCTTGATTTGTCCTAAATTCTGCAATGTAGTATCATTAATTAATTAGTCTTGACTACATACGTCTTGCATAGGGACTTGGTGAAGAAATTAAATACTAGTGCAATTGATACATTTAATTGGAGATTCTATGAACACAAGATGAATGAGATATAATGTCTTACCTCAATAGGCAGAAAAAGGAGGGCTAGATTGAACTTCATTATCTTTTTGGCAGAGTATCAACATCTAATCATCTATGCCCTGTCTTTTTTTAAAAAAGAACAGAAAAATCTTCAAACGCAAGTTCTAGAAAATAAGCTTTGAATCAAATCTCTTAATATTATTTTTGTCACATATCATCATTTCAAATGTTTTAAGTTTAATGTACTACATCGCCAAGTCCCCACAACCGACCCTCCAATAGGGCGTCGCCACTTGGCGATGTAGTCAACCATGTAGTACATGGTGTAGTACATATAGCTTAATCCCTCTTAAAAAGTCCTTATTGCAACTAACCGACCCTCCAATAGGGCGTCGCCACTTGGCGATGTAGTCAATGTAGTACATGATGTAGTACATATAGCTTAATCCTTCTTAAAAAGTCCTTATTGCAACTAGGTAGCCAAACATGCCCCATTCGGCCCCACAACCGACCCTCCAATAGGGTGTCGCCACTTGGCGATGTAGTCAACCATGTAGTACATGGTGTAGTACATATAACTTAATCCTTCTTAAAAAGTCCTTATTGCAACTAGGTAGCCAAACGTGCCCCATTCCTTTCTCTGCCTGTCTTGTTAGCTCGCACTCTCGACTGCGACTGTTGAGTACAATCCTCTTCGAGGCTTTTGGGCGTTTTGTTCATAACCCCGAAACAGAGGCGAAGATGGTAGTGCAGCATCTTTTGAAATTACCCATTTCACGCTTTTGTGCTGCTTTGATTTCTGGCAATAGAAATGACTTCCTCCTCTTCTCATCCAGATGCCCGCACACTTCTTTGTTATCGGGTACTTTATCCTTTTTTCTTTTTCTTTTTCTTTTTCTTCTTTTTCTGCTATCTGCATATTAAAACTTTATTTTTTGATGTACGTTAATTAAGGAGTTTGAAAGTGTTAGTGAAATTGGGTGTATTCGATTGCCACCGAAAGTTGGGTTTTTTTTTTTTGGAAATAATAATGCTGCAGTGTATCTGCATTCAAAGTGTTACTTGAAACGTGAATTTCTACAGTTTCAACTGCTGCAAAAAAAACTTGCTTATGTTGGCTTGACGTTTTAGCTTTGTACATCCGAGCCTAGTGAAATTCAAGGACTCACTGATAGGGCGTGAATTTGTTTTGGATTGATTTTCATTAGCAACACGTTCATATACATTTATGCCCCTGAATTTTTTTGTGGATTAATTTTGCTACAATTAATCAGTGAGATGGAACAAGGCCCATGTGCATATTCCTCTCAGAAGTTTTGCTGCAACAAAATCAGAAATGGCTCGGGTGCAGAAAAAGTAATTATTCTCTATTGCTGTATAGCTTATTGCTTTTATGGTTACCATGATAGTATCTTGTTATCTATGTGTTTTTCAGGAAAAGAAGATTGGATGAAGTATGCCTTCAAAGATTTCAGCAATATAGTCGAACATTCATACAGTCGTGGATCTTGCAAGGTAGGTCATAGTGATTTTTATTTTCGACGGTCTTCTAGAGTATATTGTGCACCGAGATTTGTTCCTTGATTCATTTTTCACATGGAGGGCTTAAAATTCTTATGAGTGGATTGTCAATGGTTATTGTAAAAACTCTTGCTTTTCATTATTAAACTATAAAAATAATTTTACCTTTGAAATGTCCTGCGTTTTAAAGGGTAAATGGAAGGGTGAACATCATATTATCATTTTATATACTGCATAATGTAATTATAACTTCTGAAGTTATAATGTTAAGTATAACAAATGTTCTAAATTTCAATAGATCAACAAATGTTCATCTATAATTGGACATGGATATTTTCAAGTACTTCTTTGACTCAAATTCACACCTCGATCTCCCTTTATGCATACTTGATTTCATGCCTGAGCCAGGGACCCATTAACAAGTAAAATCAACATTAGGCTTTGAGCATTAGAATTTAGAAACTGTTTTTCAGAAAATGAAGACAAATATTACCAATACTCGTGTTAACTTTTTCGGATAAGCATATCAATTACTGCGGTAGAGTATTTTTAAGATAATTTGTATCTCTTTTTTTGGTAAATTGATGTGTGTCTGTTCTATGTTCAATTGTCTATGCATACGTTCTTGAACTTTTGTTTAAATATCAACCCTCCAAAGTTTTGTCTGCAGATGATGATGTCTGTCCTCTCATACTTGTGAGGTTTAGGACTTGTAGATTTACCCTTTTGTTTTCACCTTACTGTGGATATTAACTTATCTGACGACAGAAGCTGATTATAGCTCACTTGCTCTGCCCCTTCTTCTTATGGCCTTCTTGTATTCATGCTCAGGTAAAGTATTAGTTGACGGAAAAGTGGTAAGCAAATGTGGAACTCCCATCTCTGACAAAGCAGTTTTGGAGATCAGGGCTGAAGTTCCCAAATATGTATGTAGGTGATTACTCCCTCAAAACGACGTTTGGTTGAATCTTCGTACATGATATTAGTATCTGTATTATATTTGAGAAGCCATTGCAACTTTTTTAACTCTTGGTACCAATTTATACTGCAGAGCAGGACACAAGTTAGAGGCTGCCATTGAACAACTGGAGATTGATGTAGCAGGAAAAGTTGCTTTGGATTCAGGTCTGTCTACTGGAGGATTTACGGATTGCTTGCTTCAGTTTGGTGCGTCATTTGTTTATGGTGTTGATGTAGGGTACGGACAGGTAGGACTTCAACAACAAATTCTTATGGTCAAGCTGCTGTTTTGAATTTATTTATTTATTTATTTATTTTGTCCATTAATTACACAAAATGAAGTGAATAGGAGCTTTCCAGTTTGTTATTTGACAGTGATTTAGCATTCATCATTAGTTAGCAATTTTTTTCCGCTGAATATGATATTCTCAGGCAAGCCAGCACACAAATACATCAGACTAAAACTACATAAAAAGACAATTCAGAAACATCAACTTTTTTAGGTGTCAATGTATAAGACACGGGAATCATATTACTATTTCTGCACTATTAAGCGTGGTTGCATGTATGGTTATAACTAATCCAAAAAATTACTTTATTGTTTTCTCTGTAGGTGGCAGACAAAATCCGTCATGATAATTCTGTATGTGTTATAGAAAGAACAAACTTAAGATATCTTTCTCAACTCCCGCAAAAGGTTGATCTGGTTACTTTGGACCTTTCTTTTATTTCCATACTAATGGTAAGCTTTCTTGAAGACATATTTCTGCTCGCTGTATTTTTTACTTCATCACATCGTTCCCACATGAAATGACTGTAGTCTGGAAACGGAGTCATCTTTCGTTTTTGCTATATTATTAGGCAAACTTGCAATCTAATTACAATCTTGTGAATCTAGTATGTTGCTTATTTTCACTTTGTTACTTTTGCTTACAAATTTGCAGGTTATGCCTGCTGTAGTCAGCATGATGAAGGAAGAAGCTACATTAGTTACTTTGATTAAACCTCAATTTGAGGCACGCAGAGGCCAAGTATGCAAGTTTTCTTGTTCTTTATTGGTTGCTTTAAGCTTCTTTTGGTCCTGGTCCCTTATATTGTTATAGAATCCATATGATTTTTAAAGCTGTATGGCTTTGTCAATAGTTAATGAAGAACTTTGTAGCATTTCTAGTCAAAGGCATAATTAATTGAAGAGTTATAGTTGTCCCTTTACATGGTCCATCTGCTATTGTCATTATATATATAAGAAATTCTGAATTTCCATTCCGTTTCAGGTGGGACGTGGTGGGATTGTGAGAGATCCGTTGGTTTATCAGGAAGTAATGTTTGCTCAACTTCTTATTGCTTACCCTCCAACTCCCCTCCCCTCCCCTCCCCTCCTAAATTGTATGCTGGTGTGAACAACAGGTTCCAAATATTGCTCTTAAAAGCAGACTATTTATTTCCCTGTGCTGTCCATTTAGTGCCTTAAGCTTTTCGACTGGCTGCAAATGAGGATTTGTAATTTGACAGTGCAGCCCGTTTCATTGCTAGTTAGATTTAATGGTGTATTTAGAGTAAAGAAGATAGTTAAAATCTTAATCTAGCAACTTGGAAATTCTTGGAAAAGAAACAGAGGAGCTGCTGAAAATCAGATGACTATAGTCATCGTCTTTGCCAGGAAAAAAATATAAAAATAATTCCTATGCATTTGTGATTACAGGTTCTTGAGAAGATCATAAACGGTGTACAAGATTTTGGATTTCAGTGCAAAGGTTGGATTGAGTCTCCATTGAAGGGAGCTGATGGAAACAAAGAGTTTTTAGCATACTTCGGCCAAACGGCTGAAAGACCCGAAGACACCTCACCTGCTAAGGCTGATATTAGTAACTTGCACAGGGGTTGTCGACAAGATATGGAACTGCCAAAGTAAAAATGTTGTACAAGCAGGATCCTTTTGCAAAATTGGAGAAACCTTGTCATTTTGATACAGTAGAATATACCATAGCGTTTGCATTTGTTTTGCCTAGAATTTTAAAATAACGGGAAAATTTTAAGATGATAAAGTATGTAAAAAGGTTTCAATTGGACTTGTTTTTAATATAATTATTCTTTGAGTAGTTGCCTGAGATGAGTTTCTTCCTTGCAAGCTGTTGGTGACAATCAATTGTTTGTTTGAGGTGCAATGTTGTAGTTAAGATTTGGTACATATGATTAGCAAATGAAAAGGGGAAGGAGAAAAGCGTCAAGAACCTGTACTATGGTGTATGACGAAGGAAATTCTACTAGGGGTGTAAGACGGGATTGGTCGCCCACGCCCAACACAGGCCAACTCATCATCTGTAAACAAGATTGAGGGTCCATTCGAAAAACCGAAGTTACTTTTAAAATAAAAAAAATGTTTTTGAGCATGTATAGATAATTTTCTGGAAGATCGTTTAGAAAAAAGTGACATCAAGTAACATTCTCTATAAGCTTTTCTACTAAAAACAAACGCATAAGTCTTGTCAAACGGGTCTTGAGTGCTGGTTGAGTTAATGTATTCATTCGATAATTGAATCTCAGATAATGAATAAACCTTCGTACTCAAATCTGAGAGAAAATCTAGAGTTTGGACTGAATCAAACTTGGTTAGGTTGCCCTTAGCCAAGCCTTCTTATTAATAGATCTTCACCAATGTCAGGGAGAGGTTTCCCCTTCCCTCATCGGTAGTGATGATCTTGTCAACTACCTTCTCATTACTGAGAACATTGACACTATAATGCACTTTGTAGCTCAGACCCATGTTGATAATTCTTTTGGTAACAGTTTTGAGTTCACCAAGAACAACATATACGGCACCCATGTTCTACTAGAGGCCTGCAAAGTTACTGGACAAATCAAAAGATTTATTCACGTAAGCACGGATGAGGTCTATGGAGAGACCGACGAGGATGCAGTTGTAGGAAATCATGAGGCATCGCAACTTTTGCCGACAAACCCATATTCAACCACAAAAGCTAGGGTAGAAATGCTTGTTATGGCTTATGGTAGATCATATGGATTGCCTGTGATAACCACTCGAGGAAACAATGTTTATGGACCAAATCAGTTTCCCGAAAAGTTAATTCCCAAGTTCATCCTTTTAGCCATGAGAGGGCAGCCTCTTCCTATTCATGGGGATGGTTCTAATGTGCGAAGTTATCTCTATTGTGAGGATGTTGCTGAGGTATTTGAATGCATTCTTCACAAGGGAGAAGTTGGTCATGTTTACAACATTGGAACGACGAAGGAAAGAAGAGTGATTGATGTCGTCAAAGATATATGCAATTTATTTAACATGTATCTAGACAAAAGCATTCAGTTTGTGGATAACAGGCCATTCAATGATCAGAGATACTTCCTTGATGATCAGAAGCTGAAGAATTTGGGTTGGATTGAGAGGACTACATGGAATGAAGGTATAAGAAAGACCATGGAGTGGTATACCAGCAATCCTGGTTGGTGGGGTGATGTATCTGGAGCACTGGTTCCTCATCCTAGAATGCTCATGATGCCCTGTGGAATTGAAAGACTTGATGAAGCTTACAAGGACGAGTCTAAAAAGTCTGAATTATTGAGCAACTCTAACCAGAGCCACATGGTGGTTCCTGCCTCCAAAAACAATACATCTCAAAAACCATCGTTCAAATTCTTGATCTGTGGTACGACTGGGTGGATTGGCGATTTGCTTGGAAAATTATGTGAGAAACAGGGGATTCCATACGAGTATGGAAAGGGACGCTTGCAGGATCGCTCACAGCTGTTGGCGGACATCCTCAGTGTTATGCCAACTCATGTACAAGTGTGATTTACTAATTTGTTCTATTTGGCTTGTCAAATCAGGTGGAAGAGCTCTTGAAAGAATATGACAATGTCTGCACACTCAGATTCGAATGCCAATATCTTCTGACCTCTTAACTGTTTTTCTTTTTCTTCTTCTTTTTCCTTTTTTTTTTTATTTTGCAGTTACCACAGCTTAATATAGATTTTTTTGTAGTTGATTGATTTATGATGGAGCTCGTATAGATTATAATCCTATCTATTTTAAAGTTTATCACCATTGATACAGAAAACTTCTTGAAATGGGTGATATAAATTATGATTTGCTCGTGCTGCAGAGTTTGTCTTTAAGGAACAAACTTCTGATGTAGAATTTCGTTTTGAATTTAAATTATATTCTTCACAATGAGGCCAAATACTTTAGTTCTTAAACAATAAGAGAACATGAGTCAGATTTAAATAGTTTTTGTGTGATCATAACAAATTCATTATTCAACAAAACTATTAAATATAAACTAAGCAAACGTGCATTCCACGTTGCTTACACCTAGTATCTCTTCTATATAAAAAGTGTGTATCTAACGGAATTTGTTGGTTTAACGGCCGAAATTTGTTGGTTTAACGGAAAAACTAACGGAATTTCTTGGTTTAACGGAAAAACTAACGGAATTTTCGTAAACCCTAAACCAAACCCTAACCATTCTCACCCTTCGACTTTCTCTCTACCCCAAATGCTCTCCCTTCTCTCCACAAATTCAAAAACACGTGAAAATCCATCCACACAAACTCTAGAGATCGAAGCTACAAAACACTATTCCAGCCAACTCCACAGCCGGAACCTCCACCCTACAGGCTGCACACCTCTGGACGAAGCCTCCCATGGCAGCAATTTGACACAAACAGCTCGAAAGCAACCCAATCTGCTGAAAATCGAACAGTCGCGACTTTAGCGACCTCGCCTGGGAAGAGCGTGATTTTCGGCGCCGGTACTGACAGTGACGATCGCGAACCACAACTGGAAGCTTCCCAACACCCAAACGAGTCTAACCATGGTGGCAATTTATCCATATCATCAGCCAAACGTTCTGAATTGCAGATTGAACACAGCCCTGTCGCGAGGCTCTCGACACCGCCAGCTAAGAACCCATTTTCCGGCGCTGTTCAGACCACTCATGGAGGGGGACCACCTGGAATCGACTCCTCCTCACCTGGTGCTGCTATTCCACTATTGGGTCTTCACCAATTCGATCAAACCAAGGTTCGATTGCTTCTTGCCATCAACGATTTTTTTGAAAAATTAGGGTTGAACAAAATTGATGAACTAATATGCTTCTCATGAGTCCAATGAATGGTGGGATGCCACATTCGAGGGGTTTGCATCAGTTTGATATTGAAACAGGAAAAATTGTGAGTGAGTGGAAATTGGAGAAAGATGGAACTGATATTACAATGAGGGATATTAGGAATGAAAGTAAAGGAGCTCAGATGGATCCCTCAGTGTCTACTTTCTTGGGGCTGGATGATAATAGGTTGTGTAGGTGGGGCTGGATGATAATAGGAGTGATCAGCTTCATAGGCAAGAGAGGTCACTGCATCTTCCCTCTGCTGAGGAAGAACCTCATTGAGGAGCTTCGTAACGTTCCTCGCACCGAAAATCTTGTGCACATTTGCAAATTTTTGTGGCTCCTGTGGTGGGAAGTATGCTGCAAAAATGCAACCTGGCATGCATTTTCTCCTCAAGAATTTGCAGGCTACACAGGGAGAGTTGTATGAACTGGATGAAGCCATTTTTCATTGCATCATCAAGAAATTACATGTAAACCCATATTTCTTTGATTTAACTCATTTAGATTGCATTAAAATCCATTAAATATTCTTCTCATTGCTACTGAAACATTCACCCTTTTCCATGGTTTGTAAATATTCTTGATGGAGTCTCTGTATTGTTCAACAATCCGTCTTTGTCCACAAGTGATTGCTTAGATGTTGGTGCGAAATTGATGGAGATCCGTACGGATATTCTTTGAATATTAATTTTAGGCAGAACAGTAAGAAATACATTGGAAGTTATTTTGATTAATTTTCCATGTTTCCTTTCTGTAGTTATTAGTTTTGAATTATGTAATCTTCCATGCTGTTAGTTTTATAGATTTCCTTCTTTACTGGAGACTTTCCTCCTCCTCCTCATTCTACATACGGGGCTGGGTTTGTATCAGAGATGTTACATTTCTGTATGCACTTGGCACTTGGATGATTCTCAATTAAAGCTTTGTCATGAGTTGTTTCATGGAGTGTTAGTATAGATTTTTATTTTGGTAGTTTGGAAAGTTGAAAAGTCTTTCCGTTTTAAATCGTCTGAGGTTTCTTAGAATGAATTTGAAAATGTTGTTATTTTTGGTGTGGGGGAAAGGGGGAAAGTTGATGAGTTTTACAAAGGAGGGATCAAGGAGTTTTTCGAAGGATTGCAGAGTATAAAATAAAGATCATTTGCTTCAGCAAGGTAGAATGGTTGAACTGTGTGTGCAGGATGTATAACATCTGTAGGTCCTGGACACCAACATCTTGCTAAACCAAATTCAAGAGAAAGGCTTGTAAATATGATTGATAGTGGAAACTTTTTGTGAAGATTTTCAAATACATCAAAATTACAACATATTTAATTCACTTTTGCATCACTCTGGTAGTCGTGCCACTTCCTAGCAAATTGTTCTAGCATAAATTTTCAGTTAAAATAGCGTTGTTATAGGGAAAGGGAAACCAGAAACTTAAAAATTTTCCTCATATGCACTGCACCATACTTGCATTACTACTTGTGTTGGGAGAACAATGAAGTTGCAAATAAATGTTTTTTACAATCCTTTTGTCTTAGATCCTAGATAAAGTCTCATTCTTGAATCGTCTTATTTAGGTTACTTCGCCATACGGTAACAACCTTCATCACCAAGAAAATGTCACCCATGGTCAATTCGCCTTTACGACAACTTTGTCTGGCAACTACTTGGCATGCTTCTGGAAAGATAACAGTCATAACGGAGGTGGGAATATGAGCATTGGTCTTGACTGGAAAACTAGAATCGCCGCGAAGGATTGGGATTCAGTAGCAAAGAAAGAAAAAAATGAAGTAAGTTTATCCTCAAAATTGTCATCATCATTTTAGGGCTCTGATGACAATAATTATGATAATAGTCTCCCTCTCTAAACACTTATTTTATCTTGCTCTGCGTTCTTAAGTTGCCATTTTTTTCCTTTACGGTCTACAACTTGAGTTACAGAAGCTTGAAGGAGCTGTGGAAGCAATCCACGAAAACTTCATCTATCTCAAAGACAGGTAATTTGCAGTTCGATTATCGAATGTGTGCTTTTCTTTCTCTCTCTCCAGAGTGGTTTTGCCTGATTCTTCTCTTTAACATTCTTTCAATTTTGAATCTATTCTACTTCGTCGTCTTCTCATTATGGAGTTGCTATCGATCTGCCACATGTTTTTTGGAGGAGTACGGAATGACATTTATTTTATCAAATTGACTAAATAAAGAGCTGACAGTCCTCAATAGAATACCAAAATTGTTATGTTGAGAACTGCAGGATATTGGATATAAATTTGCAGGCAACTAATTCTTGTATAAAATTTAGAGATTTACGCCTTAAGACTTGCATATCATCTTCCAGTGTCCCCGATTTACATGTACCAAACATGATAATAGTGATGAACTCTTTCCAAAAAATTATCTGTACAAGTCCATAAGTAGATTCTTAATCTTAAAACCATCTTTTGGCTTTTCAATATGCTACCAGAAAAAAATTACATCTTTATTAATAACAAATTAATTCTTAAACAAAACTATTAAATATAAACTAAGCAATCGTGCATTGCACGTTGCTTGCACCTAGTCTATATAAAAAGTGCCTATTTAACGGAATTTGTTGGTTTAACGGAAAAACTAACGGAATTTGTTGTTTTAACAGATTATATAACGGAATTTCTTATTTTAAACCGGCAGCTGCACCTTTCTTCAGTGTTTTTATCATAACTTTGTATTCTGATGTTCGATTGAGGCGATTCAAAATGCGTTGGAAATCTAACACATCTGGCTACAACTTTGATTCAGACATCATTCTCCAATTTGAACAATTTCTATGCCAAAAATATGTCTCAATATAAAAGACTATGTAACGGAAATTATT